ATTTATGGCAGTTTGTGTTTTCTCTCAAACATAATGTACTGTAATCATTAGAAGCAGGTGACCTCCTCAACTTTGACTTGTTTCTGGACCAGCATTCCTGCGATGGTTCGAATTCTTCCACTTCTGACTGTAAAAAACGGCTATCATTAGTTCTAAGGGACCTTTTCAACCCGTCGCGGTGGTGGGGAACTTTGGTCGATACATGAAAAGATCGTGCTTATGCCCTAAATATGGAAATAGTTTGGCTTGGTGTAAACGTTAACATTTAGTGTCTCATGTGTTTAAATTTGTGTAATGTGTGTAAAATCGCAGCCTTAGTCTTTATCCTGAATTAAGAATTTTTGCAGTTGTCAGTGCTGACCTGCACACTGCAACGTGTTTTATAAGGGTTGCAGTCCAAACAACGAATCAACTGTAACATTAGCTTAAAGCCAGTCATTAGCTGGCGCAAATTAGCCTGCAGTCGTACTGTTCATTTTAAATGACTGGGATGCTTTTTAGCAGCTGTAGAGAATGCCAGTGGATGCAACCAGCCAGAGAACAAAGTGTCTTAGCAACATTTCACTCTGATGGGAACAGAATTTACAAAGTAAACATCATTTTGTATTGAAGGAGACTTAAACCTAACGAATTAGACCATAAACTTGTTTGGAAAATGTTTACTGAGGAAACAGATCAAGTGAGAAGTAGAATTATTTTCTGAGATTTTTGACTTCTTTTGCAACTGGAGGTGTCGCCACCTGCTGGCTGTTGGAAAGACTGCAGGCAATTCCGCATTGGCATCACTTTTCAGACGTCAAAGCTCTGTCCATCATTTTTCTCCACTGACGCAACACTGTGTAGAATAGTCTGATTGCACCTCATTATCACTTAACTGTAGTTTTTGTGTTTCCTCAAACTGATCACAAGGGGCGGAGCTAAGAACAGAATCAAAAATAGCGATGGAGGAATTGTTTTGGTGGAACATTCGCATGCAAGGAGTTTACCTATAAAATGGAATAGGTGGACTCTTTATGTCAGGATTCAAATGTTGTAGGTTGCAGCTTGAAAGGTGTTGCTGCTTTTTCCTGCAGCGAAGGAGATTTTGAAAATACTAACACGTCGATAGCGGAAAGAGAAGCCTTAGCTACTGGAAAGCTTCGACCGGCAGCCTACATCCGGTGATTTAGACTCATCTTTTGATATAAACATGCGCTCTTAGCTCTGCAAGCTACAATTGTTGTGTCATTTAATAGAACATCAATAACTGTGATCTATGAAGCAGAAGCAGGGAGATGTTAAACTTCAAAAAGGTGCAAAAGACGAGACAATTAAGACCACTCCAGCATGTATACAATAAAAATGATGCTTGAGCCAGGAGTCTTTCTGCCAAGATAAGCAAAACCACGCTCTATCCGCTTATCTAAATCTGCAAAAAAAAAGCATTTGCATCCAAAACATTCAAATTCCAAATTACTTGGCCGATCAGCAAACGCAGCACGCTTTGTTAAAACTCCAACATGTCTCTAAAACCACAAAATAAGCACAACTGCTGCATATGGTGCAGAGGCAAGAGGAAACATTCACCCTTATCCTGATCCTGGCAGAGAGAAAACCAAATCTAAGTCTGTGCTCGACTGGGATGCCTCATCGTCTCCACTCAGTCTCGTGAATCTTGACCCTTTAAAAGCCGAGTTGGATTTGAATCCTTCACATTGACGAACTGAAAATGTCCGCCGATGTGGCAGATATGAAGACTGATGAGCCCTCCGATGCGCAATCGCTGTTCCGGAGAGATTTCGCACGAGCGTGACGCTGAAAGGCAGTCAGTGAGCTGTTGCGAGGACGCAACCAGAGCCTTACGGGGTCTGTTCTGCCGCTTTGGCTGGGAAACAGCTGGCCCGTTTTAAAGCCCGGCGCTCGACGGCCTCTTCCTGACCAACATGTGGATGGCGAGGAAGAAGCCCAGTGTAGGAGAAGCCCATTTTCCACCCCCTAATAAGCCTGATCTCAGCGCTGTTATCTTAAGGAAACCCTCAGGAGCTGGTCAAACGGCGGATATGTCAGGAGTTAGGAGTGTTTTTCTTAGCAAATGGGCTAAATCAAGGCTGCTCCTGGGAAGATTATCACTGGCAGAAACGTCTCACCGACATCGCTGATGAGCTTTTAATTATTTCCTAAAAGTTTCTCTTCATCGCCAGCCAGCGCTCCGACAACATCACCACGTCAAGGATGCTTGGAGGTGGCAGAAAAGGGGGGAAAAAACGGCTCGTAATTAGCACCTGCTGCTCCGGCTCGGCGGGCGGCTCCAGATGATTAAACCTATCACTCTCTTTTAATCTGTCTTCTGACTGATAAATAGTAGAGCTCTTTGGGAAGTGAGTCGGAGGACGCGGAGTGCAAACCAAAACAAGCAGGTTGATTTTTCCGTCTGATAAGAGCGGAGTGGAAATTTTCCCTTGTTTGAATATTTACAGTCCAGTGGCATCTGCATGTGCAGGGGTCAGGTTTTTCCAAAACGACCGAGTCTCTGTGTGGGAAGGTCATACCTGGGTGAGATGCCTCTCTCACACACTGTACACATTTCCACAGCACATTTTGGCTCGGGTTTAACGGTGAGAGGTTCATGTTCATGCTTTGGCCCGAGTGTTGCATGAAAGTGATAAAAAAAAAAGTTTGAACACTGAGAATTTCCTCATGTTTAAACCATTCAAACTTTTACTTTTGGATGGTGCTGCAGAGGAATTAAAGAACTCTTTTTTTTTTTCTTTTTTAGCTTTCTGGCCTGTATACTTAAAGATCTATGCCAAAGGGCACGGATTGCTGCTTTGCTAGAAACGTCTTCTTTGGAATCTACGTCATAACATATCTGCACAATGCCTGAAAGAATAAGAAGCTGCCAGCCATTATTTCCTCTCAACAGCTTCTTCTGCTGACTCGAAAATGCCCACACGTCTCCAAATGTTAGCAGCCGACAGCTCTTGGAACATCTTGTACATGCTTCACCAGCATTGTCTTGCTTTGGCTCGTTGACCAATCACAGCAGGTTGGTGGTCCTAGAAGGATAAAAGTTAGAATGGACAGAAGTTGAGAAGAGGTGCTGCAATAATGCAACAATAGGAACCTGTAATGAAGAGCAAAACATGGGCTCTTAAACACCCCTAGTTCCAAAGTTCAGCTGCTGGAAACCCAGACTTAAACTAAACCAGTTGGACGGGCTTCAGAGCAACTGTTGGATGACTCACGACGACTCTGGTGATTCTCTAATTCATGTCGGCACCAGGAAGTCCAAATGTTCACCTATCAAGCGTAATAAACCGAAAGAGTTACGCAGACATTCACAGAGGTTTATTGATCATCGTCGGCTCGAATCAGAATTTAACACACAAATCTGCGATATCAACCGTCTCGAAACCTCCAAAGTCAGCTTTTGGTGTTGATCCATTCAGCGCCTCAAGACGTGTAAATCCTGCTTCATCGCATCATTAAACCTATAGGGGGAACGCTCCAGCTATCACCTAAAATAACTTGTGAATTAGGTGTTTAAATCCTCCAAACGGACGCTTTTATTGCTCCGATCCGTCGGACAAGCTGCAGAGACGCTTGTTTGAACCTTGGCAGCTCGCAGGCCGCCTCAGACTTCTTTCTCTCGCTGCTTCGACTGTAAAACACCTCCGGCGCGCCAACCTCTAGACTGGATGTCGTTACCTCCCAGCGCTCTTCTTTCAAAGTCAATTTCAAAGCCGGCGAGGCATATGGTCCTGATTTTTAATTCAGCGACTTGGCCGTTGATCGAACCCAGATCCGCCCGGTATCGGGGCGGACGCTAACCGCTTGCGCCGTTTGAACTTAAGTTGTGTTTTTATTGCCTTGACATATTTTATGTTTGGAGTTTGTCTGTTTCGTGGGATTTTTTTTTTTACGCAATGGGGCTTTCTGGAAAAAGGAAACGTCAATGAGATTTCCTTCTTCAAATAAAAGGTGTCAAACCAAATCAGTTCACATCGGCCGCAAACACGACCGAGAACACGCCTTCCATGCACCTCTGAAGCGTTTTGAGGGCGAACGCACGTGTAGCGTCCATGAACTCAACCGGCCATGCGCTTGGTGGGAGCCCGCGCCTCCCTTCCAGCTCATAATGTGGCGAAGCCGAGAGCGACGTACGTAATTTGTCAGGGGGGAATGTGTCATGCATATTTGTGAGTTTGAGCACCGTCTGCAGCCGTGAGAACCTCGCAGCGGTTTTGATCATGTTTCATTATAGCCCGTTTCTATGGGCTCGAGCGATCGCTAGGTGGCCGAGGACAAACAAACAGACCGGGCTACCGCTTCGGTTGTTGGCGCTGCGTTCACTCAAGTGGCTCAAACGGACACCTGTAGTCAATTTGTTAGCCTTTGAATGAGGGTGCAACAGTTGAAGCTCATTTTAGAATCACAACAACCAGTAAAAGAAGCAATAAAAGCAAATAACAGAATGTTTACAATGAAAAGAAAAAAATAGCCGACATAAATCAGAAAGCATACCTTCATCACCAGCAAGCTTTTTCATTCAATGCAGGTATATTTTCTGGCCTCACGTGTCAAACCGTCCGTGGGCACACACCAGACGATCCTCCCCTCTGACCTTAATGAGCAATATGTGCCAAAATGCAAATAATCACCAGCAATAAAGTGAGATAAAGCAGCTTCCCCGTCACAAAGGGTTCAGCCGGGAGGAACCGACAACAGCTTGACATTCAGATAACACGGCGAAGGTGAGCGGGGCAGCGGGGTGAACCCACGGTCACATTTCAAACTCGTATGCAAAGAGGTTTCATATGAGGGAGACGGCTTTGATTTTCAGACAGGTTTTTCCTATTTAACGCCAAGCAAAACCCTTTGCTTTTATCTTATTTTATTTAGCCTCTCACTGATGTCTTAACATGGGGAGCACATGCCGCGTATTTTTTTTGATTTCCAACCCTGACAAAGAAGAATGATGGAGATAAATAAGCGAAATTAAAAAAAAACACCCGCATAGCTTTAACGTAACTGATCTGTATTGCTTTAATGTTTTTTGTTGTTTTTTTTTTCTCCTTAGGAACAGGTAAGCCATGACAATACAATGTAAATGATAAGCGCAAACAAAATCTGAGACCCTTTTGTACATCCATAAGTAGCACATTCATACAAACATACAAGTCCCATCTGTACAACGGGTCACAGAATCTTTTTTTTTGTTGTTTTTTTTTTACCTCCGCTGAAACAAGAAGGTAGCTCTTGACTCAAAGCAAACAGGTACAATGCCATTTTAGATTTATTTATTTTTTTGAAATTTCACTTCCGTTAGTAGTCGATTGAAGCGCACCGTACCTCTTTGCTTTCAATGAAGCGCCACCATACATTCCTAAAATCGATAATGTGACGATGAATTTAAAAAAAACGTGTCAGGAAAATAAAAGAATAAATAAGAATAAATAAATCACTGACTCTCGAGGGGGGGAAAGGTGGTGGAGGTGAAAGGGGGGGAAGGCCCTGGAGAAGACACCTTTGGCAGTCTGACAAAGCTGCAGCTGTAGAGCTTTAGCATCACGGTGAGACACGTCTGACTTTTATTTACCTCCAGCGCTGACACCCATACGAAATTTATGTCACTCCTCTTGTAGGTATTGTGAGTACAAGCGCTTTTGTTTACACACTTCCAATGGGGCACAGCGGGGCCTGTTCTCTCTTGAACAGGAGTTGGACACATTTTTGGAGCGTTGAGACACCAGTAAAAACAAAATGTCTCCCCCCCTCCTCTATTCCCAAAAAAAAAAGAAAACGCTTTCGTCATCTGCAGCTGAATGTCTCGCTGTGTAAATACCCCCTCGGTTACCCAGAACACCCATGTTTGTATGTGTGTGTGTGTGTGTGTGATGGCTGGTTCTTGAGATTACTGCGAAAGCCGAGCAAGGTGACCGAACGAAAAAAAAAAATATAATAAATAAAATGTGATTATAAAAAGCGACATGCAGCCAGAATCTTTGGCAAAAATAAAATTTAAAAAAAATCGGAACTGTCATGGGGTGCTGTTTTCATATTGCATTTGAGGTTCTGAACTTTAACGTGCATCCCTTTATTATTTTTTTAAAGTTTCCTCGTCTCTAAAAATCACGCCTTTAAATCTTTAAATTCTACCAGCTAACGATGCTTCGACGCTCCCACAAAAAAAAAAAATAAAAATGGCGGCGCTCAGATGCTTCTTTGTCCATGCAACTTGGCTTCTATCTCATTCATGCCCTGCCTCGTTCTGAGAGAACAAAAAAAAAGGAAAAAAACAAACATGACGAGCAGGAAAACAAACATATACATGTACAAAGTAATGTACACCATATATTCAAACACATTTCAAAATCGTCAGACTTTGAAATCATTAGCCAAAATAATTTTTTTTTGTTTTTTCTCAACCCATTAGGTAATCTTCTTTATCTAGACTGTACAATATATGTATATATGAGTAATCATGAGGGGACCAAAGCAACAAAAATAAATACTTTTTCGCTATGTCACCTTTCAAAGTAGTATATCTATGTACATTTATATCAATATCAATTTTCCTTAGCTTATTGTGAATGGTTGAGCGGGTGTTCAACAAGCAGGCATTGCGCACAGTGTGGAAACTCCTTTTTCTTTTCTTCTTCTTTTTTTTTTTTCTTTTCCTTTTGCCCTAAAAGGTATCTAATGTCAATTTCGACAACACTGTGGAACAAAAAAAAAAAGAGAAAAACTGTCCTCGATACAGTGAAAGGTAACCCTGGCTCAAATGGAACGACAAAAAAAAAAAAAAAAACTGAAAGAAAAAAAGTACAAATATAGCATCTCACCATCATGTGACTACTTCAACAATGGGGTTTTTGTCTAACTTCTTTTTAGGACTCAGAGAAGAGTACAAAAAAAAAAAAAAAAGTTGTCTATTTCATGCAGTCTTTGACAAGTCATACAACCTCAGTGTACTTGTCTAAAGGTTTTTAGTTTTTAGCACACAGCATAGAATGTTTTCAGTGATGTTGAATGTAGCTATGAGGGAGGGTGCAAGTTTGGGACAACAACATGCATAAAGAACAGTGCATAGGTCCACGTCATCATTGGGCCAGTCCCTGGTGATTTCCAGTGTGTTTCAGTGGCAGCGTCTATCAACAGATCCACTACTGCAAGCAGTTGGTTTTTGAAGTCTACGTGACTCTGGGGGAGGTGGGGGTGGTTCGAAAGCCTGAATGAGCGACGCCATCTTGTGGAGAAACAGTCGTCCTCCCGCTCTCTCTCTCTCTCTTTCTCTTTCTGTCTGCCATGCGATCAGGAGGCTTGCTGATTTCAGGCCAGAGTTAATCCAAGAAGTTTGGAGAGAGGGCGTGAACCGGAAGGTGATGCGAGTGTAGCTGCACTGACACAAAGTGCGGTGACCTTAGCGTGGCGGGTAAGGTGGGGTAAGGGGGTAGGTGGACACTTCTGTTTTTTTTTTTTCTTTTAACAAGTCTGGTCTGCTATGCGCAGTTTTAGATCAGTCGTTGTTTCACTGCAGAGCCCTTTCCAACACACAACAGACCCGGAAATGACCACTCTAAGGGTTTCACAATGACTTTTGTGGAAGGTAGAAGAACCAAGCTTAAAGATCAAGCTAACATGCATAATGTCTTCAGACAACTGTTTTGCTAAAAGCCATCAAGGCCGACTTTTTTCCTGAAGACGAGTTCAAGAAGAAACCAGATTTCTTTTCTTTTTTTTTTTGTTTTCTTTTTTCTTGTTTTTTTTTTAAGTTCAACACTTCATCTTTTGAAAAGAGGAAATAATAATGGCTTAATAGCTACATCATTCTTGCACTTGTATTGCAACTACCTTTGGTAAATCAATCAACGAAACAACAGAAAACCCTGAAACATACAAGTTCTTACTTGTTCCCCGACTGAACTTAGCATTGTTCCTTTTAGTCTTTAGCTAGCAATTTCCTCTCACACAGGCGACCCCCGTGTGGAGACGTTTTATCCGCCTCTCCGACGGCCTCCATGGTTGTCACGTGCACAGCTCCACACCACACATCCTCTAGCTCCACTCTGGATTCACACCGAAGCCTTCCAATAGAGACTACTCCAAAAAAGACCAAAGTCAAGACAAACCAGCAAGGCAGAGAGGGAAAAAAGAGAGAAGGGGAAACAGAAACAAACCGACAGGAAACAGAAAGAAGGACATCATCGAGTCCTGGCGAAAAAGACACCAACTGACGAAGGGAGATTGCAAAAAAATGGCCACTGCCATTTGGACGTTGAGGGTTTCACCGCTTCATCATTTTGGAGACGAAGCTGACGATGGCGGAGGCCGGCTGGTCCGGGTCCAGCTCAGCAAACAGGTGGCTGACATTGTCTGTTGTGCTTCCTTGTTTCCTTGCGACGAATCCGAAAAGTCTGGAAGGAAGAGAAAGACATCTGTATTTAGCATTTCGAAAGTCTTCCAGCTTCATACATACAGCGTTGTGTTTGAGGAGCAGCACGACTTCCAACCACGTCTTTTTGCAGTAGTTTGATGAAACAAATGTTATGTGTAGACTTACTTCACTGAGCCGCCTCCTTCTTTGCCCCATCTACGGAAAGAAAAGAGATTCGTCCATTTTTGAATCGAGTAATGATAGAATCTGCTTCTATTTTTTTTGCATAAGAAAGCAGGTTCTTACTTCCTGTCCTGGGGATCAATGTCACAGTAGGTTACCGTGTTGATGGGGTAATGTCGCCTGAAGAAAATCCTGCAGCGAAACAAACAACATGCATGTCATTGTCAGTGAGTGGGTATGCTTTCAGTGTCCACAGCGCTGTATCGGCCTCGCTTGTGTCGAGTTGTGACGACTGCTGTTGGTTTATGTTTGTGGAAAAAAGCACAAAACCTCCATAAAATCGGGCGTAGTTTGTTGGATGTCGGCTTTTTACAGCTCAACTGGGATGAAACTGAAATTTTAGACATAAAAAAAAGGGAAACTCAGAGAAGCTGGTTGCAAAGTTTAATTTAATTGGACTTATATCAGGTTACCAAGCAGGAAACCTCTGACACAGAGCAATTTTTGGTTTTCATTTTGATCTTATGTATGTTTACAGTGTGAACATGTGAGTCTGTTAAAAGTGTAGAACTAAAATCTTGAGGCAGCTTTTAGTGTTTATATTTATAATAAGCTTCTTGAACACCTGAGAGCAGCTGAAAATACTGACATTTTTAAATGCAACCTTTCCTTTTCAGCCTGGCTCTTGCTCAAATATGGTTCATAGGCATCACTTACTTCACTTTATTCATTTATTTATTGTTTTCATATTGTTAAATCTCATTTTATTTATTTTAATTTATACATTTTATCTTTCTAATCTATTTTATGTAGACTTGTAGTCTCGTTTTTACCATTACATGTTAATTTTTTGAATAATTTTGTAATAATTTGTCTTGTTATCGGTTCACCAGTCCTCTGTGAAGCACTAAACTGTGTGAAAGGTGCTGCACAAATAACGTTGGATAGTTGCTGTCAGTACTTTGAGAAGGTGTTTTTTGATACGACCAACAGGAGCGCCAAATTGGTTTGCGAATAAACTGGGTCCCATTCAGTATACGGAATATATATACACACATATATAGTTAAACATTGGTTATGTGAGCTAATTTACTTTAAATTTTATACACTGTTCATCAGTTATCAGTCATATTTTTTTGTTTTTGCTGATTTCTACAAATTCTAAACTCACATTTTCTAATATGATTAAAAATGTGATTAAGGTTGTGTCCAAAATCATCCACTCCCTCCCTGTTCACTATACAGCAGGGGTGTCCAATCCTGGTCCATGAGGGCCACAGTCCTGCATGTTTTCGATGTTCCCCTCTTCCAACACACCTGATTCAAATGATCAGCTCATCATCAAGCTCTGCAGAAGCCTGATAACGATCCTGATCATTTGAATCAGGTGTGTTGGAAGAGGGAAACATCTAAAACATGCAGGATTGCGGCCCTCGAGGACCAGGATTGGACACCCCTGCTATACAGGGACCACCACATAGTGAACTATGTAGGGAGCATCTCGGCAAAGTAACATTTCAGACTAGAGCTATTAATTACGTCGCTCGCTAGCTGCGATTTGCACCATAGCAGCGTAGAGCAAACATCAAACTCGCAGTTTGTTGCATAGCTAAGAAACGGGTAAAATAAAATTTAACAAAACATAAACTTACATTTTAATGACAAGTTTTCATTCGTCTAGTTTCCTTTCACATATTGCATGATGGTCCATATTGCTTGGTTAGTGACCGACACTGCTTTAACAGTGCATTGTGGGATATTTTGAGTGCACCATATAGGGTGTAACTTAACATTCAGACAGCACTACAAAATGAACACCCTGTATAGTGCGCTATAGAGGGTGTTGTGGGTGATTTCAGATACAGCCTAAATATCGCAGATCACTGTTGATAATCACACACCAGCTATCCAAACTCCTTTCCGCGGTCGGTTGTGTCGCAGCTGCTGTTGCACTTACTTCCTCTGACTGTCCGTGAGCGTGATGCCCTGTGTGGACACTTTAAAGTGGACGGTGGTGGCAGCAGGCAGAGGGTTGGTTGCCAGCGTCTGACTAATTGCCTTGGCAACGGCCTGCGGCCCCGTGAGAGACTCCATGTCCACCGAGTTGATGTAGAGAACATTGCACGCTAGAAGTAAACAATAGGAACAGTCAAACAGAGTCGGTGTTAAATAAGAACAGTCACTGGAAGAAAACGGCGTGCATGCAGTTCAGTGTGAGCGGATGGAAGCTGTATCGGGGGTGTTTAAAAAGCCAACGATGAAGAATGTCGTTGTCATGCACTGTAAAGCAGGTAGTCTGTATAATAAATGGTCTTTCACTTTTAGGAATGCTCCTCCAGTCTGTTGACTGTCAACGTGCACTATGTTGTGCATGCTTTGAGTTTGAGGTTCTATTTAGTTGCAAACAGCTACAACTATGTGAAAGCTTTATTTTTTTCTGTCATAGCAACAATCAACACATTCAGTCCAAGTGCATGATGGAGCAAAGCAGTGCAAACCAGTATTTACCATGAGCCTCCTCTGGAACCTTTTGAACTGCAAGGTAAGGGTGACAGTGGGTCAGCAAACGAGCTGAAACAACATTACCCCAAAAGAAATACGTAGATAATTGAGATAATGTAAGCATGCTTTTAAAAGATACGGGGCGTGATGAAAAACCTCAGAGACTGCAACTATAACGAGCAAAAACCACACCTATGCTCGTAGTGCTTCTGCCACATTTGTGTGTCAAGGACCATTTGTGATACGCGCTGGTGTCAAAATAGTGACTCTTTAACCTGAATTTCATTTTGGGAAAGAGGGCGAAGTGACAGAAAGCCAAGTCTGGCACGATGGGGACCCACAAATGCTTTCCCTCACATGCTTCAGGATGTTCCAGTAGAACTCTATGGAGACAGTCCGACCTTCTGGGGATGAGTTCACGCTTCAGAACCCCCAGAATGTTGAACAAAACGACAAGAATGCTCTTATTCCCCCTGCTGACCCGACGAACCTTCTTCAGCTTTTGAGACAGCGGGGTCTCTGGTCTCTGGGTCTTATCACCACTGATGAACCTCAGCATTGCATCGGTTTGATGGAGAATTTGATGTTTGCTCTCTGTGCAAGCTAGTGGTCCATGTTGAAATCGCAAATCCGTGTAAGTGGTCAGAACAGGATGTAAAAGAAGAGTTCCAAGTGCAGCAGGAGCACTTGAAGCAGTGTATCGCTTCACACTAAGACGATTTCAAAGTTTATAGCAACCAAATTTAAACAAGGCAGAGTTTTTGCGTTTTTATAAGTGCAGTCTCAGAACTTCTTGATCAACATGTTTGCAGATCTAACATTTAATTAGCTAGCATCCACATGGAACTCATCCAATCAGTGCTTTCTTACGGTTTCTGCCCTTTCCCCATTCATAAACTCGCTCTTGTTCTCAGTTTCTCAACCCTTTGCCACTAATCTTGCTCGGAAAGAATCCCTGTATCCCCATCAAAAGAACTCTAATGGATGCTTTCTGATGATATGATAAAATCAATTCCACAATTAAATTGTCGTGATGCTTACCTGCGCCCTGCTTAAGAAGTTCAACGACCGGATCAGTAGGTGTGGCGAGTTCTAGCGCCTCTTCATTTGGGTCTTTAAGTGACAGAACAGAGACGATGTCAGATACTTCTGTCAAGAAACAGTTTTGCAGTGTACTGTAGATTACAAGAAGCAATCATGTGCCTAAACTGCAACTGACATTCACTACAGAAGGAAAACAGCTAAAAGCCAAATCTGGTACAAAACAGCCTTGTCTTTGTATCAGATTCAAATTGTTGGATGTGATTACTGACAAATAAATCTAAAAAACTAATAATAAATACAAAATAACCAAACAAAATGTTACTATAATACCCTCTCTAGTCTATAAGTTTTAGTTTTTTGATAGTATCAGTATTAGCAAATGCTACGATCACAAAAAAGAGCACATTTAAAGTGATATTTACCATTTCAATGTATGGGGAGTAGCTTAGTTGTGATCTCCCGGTTTGTACAGTAAATATTTGTATTGGAGTTTTTTGGGGTTCCACTGCAAGATATGCTTCTCTTTCCATCAAAAATACAACATTTCTGACATGACGAAGACTTTGTCCAAAGAGAGCGACATGAAGAAGAGGGTGGAGCTCACCTTTGGCGGGGATCATCAGCTTGCAGGGCAGAGCCAGTGGGGTCATCGAGTGTTGGTACACCAGAGCAGAGAGACATCCTACGGACACAAAGTAATCCGTCTGTTAACTTGAAGTGAAGCCCTATTCGACAGGTCAGATGTACAGAAGAATCTGGGCTGGAAGCTCACCGAAGTAGGGTTCATTGGGACAACCCTTCAGACGGACGCCTTTGGGGCTCGTCTCAATCAGGAAGTGCCTCACCAGTTCGTTAGTCATGTCACCAACTAAGCAAAGGAAGGAAATGCTTGTGACGTCATGAGAAAGCAGCACGTTTAGCAGTGAGTGGACTGTGGGAAACCTTTACCTTTCTTGTTCTGCTGAACCGTCGGCGGGGGGCATGCTACCTTCATGGCCAGACCGTAGGCCCCACGGAAAGAATGGCTGTCCCTAATGATGAACGCCCCGGGTTCCCTGTCCTTCAACAGATTGATGGCTGGAAGAAGGACAAAGGAAAATTCACAGTCACGTGGGGAATGGCGAGTCTGTTTCACTTACAGATAAGCAAATACATGTTTTGGAAATTTCCAACACTTACCTTGCTCTCTGGAGATGTCTGGCTTGTACCAGTACTTGGAAGTGTCCTGGACAAACTTGACATTCATCTTAATGTCAGGATAACCATCTGTTTAAATGAAAGTACACATGGAAAATAATTATCGTTGATCATAAACCTGCTGCGAGCTAAAGAAAACCATCTTCCCCCGTCTCACCATATATGGACTTGGAGACGTCTGGGAGTGTGTGAGCGCCAGACAGGTTTGGCGTGCTGCCACCGCTGGCTGGCGTCGGGGTCAGGTTCTTGTTGTCCGTCCTCTCCGCGTCGCCGCTGGACATGTGTCTCTTCTCCGGCAGCTGTGGGGAGACGGGGAAGGCGGGCGTGGGAGGCGGCTGGGCGCTCCCCTGGCGGGAGGCGGCGCCCAGCTCGTCGGGCGTGCTGTGGCCACTCGCCGCCGTTCGCCGTCCCATGAGAGGGCTCGGAGGCACGCCGGCCGCCGCCGTTTTGGGGTTTCGGCCGATCAGAGGACTGGAGGGGATGCCGGCTGGAGGAGGGTGTCTGGCCAGGGAGGGGCTGGCTTGGCCCAGGCGTCTCTGGAGGGCGGGGCTCGGGGGTGTGTTGGTGGCCACGGTGCGATGGAGGGTGTTGGGGCTGCCGGGGACGGTGTGGACGCCCATGATGTTGACCTGGGAGCCCTCAGGGGAGGCGGGTCTGTGGGCGTATGGGGAGGCGGGGCTGTGTTGGGCGCCATCTGAAGAACCAACCCTCCTTCTGCAAGCACAAAAAGAAAATTAGCCAATTAACATTAGTTTTCTAGTCTGCATCACGGGTCTGTCCATTCAAGTGATCATATAAAACACTGAAAATATGTTCACGCGAGTTTGATTTTTAACAGTTCATAAGAGTAGGGCCTCAAAGTCAACTGGTTGATACGCTCTGATCCAATCAAATTCTTATTCTTCGCACAATTGCCAGTGTTGCCTAAATACAGTACGGAGAAAAGCACTATATTAAAAGCCTGGAAGGATTAATCTATTATTTATGGAGGCAGGCTATCTGTGGACGTTTTTCCAGCTTTGAACTTAACCAATCAAATGCAGACTGCTAAGTCTAACTTATTTAAAGTTTACTGAATGTTTAGTCGGAGGAAACCCCAAACTCATGGACGCAATGTCAAAGAAGTCGTCACTGCAGCTACATTTAGTTAAAACTGATGGCCAAAAAGTTACTTTGCAAACAGAAAGTGACATATGGGGCCGTTAGCTTTGGCTTTAAGTCAATTTACTATAAAATGACGGGGTTCAAATGATTAAATATGCCACAAATACTAGCTGTTTATGTAGATTTAGAATCTATCCAAGCTATGAAGGATAGCAGGTAGAGTGTACTCAATGAACTGTGGCTCATTTAGCTCATCTTGAAGCAACTGTTTTCCTGAATAATTACTTGAGTTTTCTCCGTCATTTATTTTATAATCAGAATCAGATTTTGTTTTTAAGACTTATGGAACTGGAATAGACTTTTAGTCGTATTGCTATTTTCTAGACGTAAAATGTGGTATGGGAGATAAATGGAAGTGGAATCCAGCTGCAAAACCCCTTTAACTCTTTTACATTCAGAAAAAAAGTGATCCATTCTATTACTGATGGTGTTTTTGTTTTAACTGATTGAAACCAGTAAAAAACAATCTGCACTTGAGGGTAAAAAACGATTCAAGGGAAAAAAAAATTGCTTGGCTTCTGCAGAAGTCAAGCCATTTCTCAAAGTTTTATCATTAAATAAAACAGAATACGACTGCTCACCCGTCAGTGCCGTGGATGGGACTGCTTGAGGAGAGAGGAGCATTCAGCGGTTGTGCCCTGGAGTCCCCAAAATTGCGATTATCTGAGGAACACAAAACATGAAATCGCACACGATTCATTTTAACGTGTCACATGACAGTTTTTCATCAAATGGGATGCAAATGTTACCAGATCAGACGACAAACAAAAAAAGAGCGACGGAAACAGGTAATGATTCAGAAGTCATCCTTAATACAACACACATTCTGCGGAAGGTTGGGATGCAGAACAGGAAATAAAAGCACCTGGTTGAAACACAAAAGGAGGAGACGTTTACACTGTACTGCCACAGAGGTGCCCTTACCTTGCTCTCCGTCATTAGAATCAGAGTCTGACCGGCGAGATAAGACAGAAAGCAAAGGGGAGAAGAGGAGGAAGGGAGGATGTATGGAAGAGGAGGAGGAGACAAGGAAGACGCACTTGAGCGCAAAGCAACAACTGGAGGGTGTGTGTGTTAGCTGTTAGCATTTAGTGGAAGTGTTGAGCACTAGAGGGAAGCAGAGACCAGCGGTGTTAACGCTGCTACAGAATGACATAATGCAGAGCTGCTGTGCACTGCTACAGTCTGAACATGCATTAGCTATTATTCATTTTAAGGACATTCTGTATGAAATTTATGAAACCAGATTTGATATTTGTCAACTGACCTGATCCGGCCTGCTGATGAGGCTTCAGCCCCAGCGCCGACAGAGGAGTCTTGACCAAACCTGGAGGGGAACGAGCTACGAGTAAAAGAGGCAAAGAGGCTTAAAAGGTTGTCATCGATATGGGATCTACACAAAAATGACGAGGAGTCATGCAATAATGACCAATGCAAGGCAGCGGCGATACAATGGGAATGCATGAGATGGTGGGTTGACGTGTTTGAGGTACACTTGGTTAATGCAACCATTTAGGATACAAGACTAGATTAATGAGGTTCTTAGTCATAGTCGAAGGTTTTTAGGTATACTTGTATTCATAAGTTCATCACATGTGTTTCAACATGTCTTGAAAATATGGCCCCATGTTAGAGCTCCTGTGAGGTAAATATAGTAAATTTGGAATAAGCCAACACAGTCCAATGCTTTGTTTGGCTCATGGTCTGCAAGATATCTGCTCTGCGTCTGTAGAAAAGATGCTAAACAGCCCTCAATCCAAGTGAAGCTATTCCTGCCAAACACCACAAGGGGGCGTTTGTGCCATAAATCCATACCACTTTCTGGATGATAGAGTGAATTCAGAGGACAAAAAACCAAACACTACTCCTATTTTTTTGACATTTTTTTGTTGCAGAGGATAGTTTTGTGCAGCAGCTCTTACAGACTCTGCTTCTTCGCTCATGGACAAGCTTCCCAACCTCGACACAGCAGCAGGTTTCGGATGCTGTGTTTGTGTGCTTGTTCAGAAAAGTTTGTGGTTGGCTAGCATCGTCTCTATGGGAACGGAAGTGAATGAATTTGGGTGTCAAGGCGTCTAAAGGAGCGTATTTGTCATTGCTGTTGAGATTTGGTCCTCAGGAATGGCCTACCCCATATTTAAATGTTATTTAAACAAACAAACCAAGGAGAAAAAAAAGCTAGAACGATGCCAACAGGTGCTTTAAAAACAAACAAATCCTCAAATTATGCATCTGTATTATCTGCATCTCCAAAATCATTTGTTTCTTTCAGTAGGATTTAATGGAATACGAGCCAATGTGCATCCATCCACAACACAAGCATGGAGTCATGGGAATGTTTACAGCATGCTGCTATGAGAGAAGCGCCAGGGTCCAGGTTAGATTGTGGATTCAGAGTCAGCATTGGTCTGAACATGGGGGGTTGTGTTAATGTGGCTTAGTGAGGCGATGAGGTAAAGGACGTCCATCACTGTGGAAATGGGATTGCAGAGGAATCCAGATCAAAAGCATGACATGGATTCAGTCCAAGTGCTCACGTAGGGGTGGCATGGAGGTACAATGTGAAGGTTTGCGCCACAGAACAGCTTCTTACGGCAACAGCTGTGTGTTCAGGACTGACTGCTGGAGGAGGAGGAGGAGGAGGCTGGTTTTCAAAAGTCAACACAATCTGTCACACAGGCCTGAACAAGGTGGTGCAACCGCATCTAGTAGATAAGTGTCAAGGGGTTTGGTCGAAGTAGGGGCACATTAGATGAGGTGTTTGTGTACGTTTGGCCACATTTTTTTTACTTTTCCTGAATTTAAAACTGTCAGAACTTAAGGAAAGAACAATTAGAAGTAGAAAATTTGTTGTAATGACTGACAGAAATCCTACACTTTTTAACTATAAACCTGATTATGTCGATATATTAAAAAAACAGGAGATCAAGTTGATTTAGAAAGCAGGAGAGAAGAAGGAAAGAGAATAAATAGGAGAAAAAATAGATGAAAGAAGGTAGAAAAGATGTGTGTTTAGAGGCTCTACATGTACATATAATGCTGTTGGGTGTTAGAAATAAATACAACTTCAGTCCTTGTTAAATTTGCTTTCTTTCCCCTTGTTATGCATGATTTGCATACACAGGCTTCGTGCTTGAGTTTGCTTTAAGCAAATTTAACAAAATGAGTTTTTCTCACACTGAGGTGAAGCTGTGTTTGTGTGGTTTGGTGTAATCATGATGGATCAATGTAAAATGCTTGACTTGTGTTTCTATACAATCATAGCTGAAGTCATTTAGCTGCCTAACATTATCACAAAGCTCTAATTTCATATGTTTGAACAAAACCATTCGCTAACCCTTTCACCTCAAAAATCTAAAATCTACAGTGCCTGCAAAAAGTATTGGAAGTTTTCCACAGGTCGACAAAGTATTGGTTGCACGGGGTGATGCAATACTTATGCAATCAGCCATTTTCAGTTTGAGATTTCTAATTAATTGGCATTATTTTTGGAGAAATCTGTTTCTACTTTGACATGAAGGAGTCTTTAAAAAACTTATATTGACCATGACTTGGTGTTAAAAGCAATCAAAGTGGAAAAATGCTGTTTCTAACCTGCATCTCTTAATCCTATGACTATATTTGAGTACAAGTCTACATGTTAATTACCTATTTTTGTCATGTTTGTGCAAATTTTCCATTAGATTTATGGATGTATTGTGTTGATCTTTTTTGTTTGCATGTTTGAATACCAGCCTTCACATATTGGTCCCAGTATTGCTCCACCTTTGACCACAAGCATACAGAAGTTACTTATTTTTTTTATATTAACACTTTGTCTAGGGCATTTTGTATTGATGGCAGGATTGAACACGACTCTCTATGTGCTGATTGAGTCCAGGCAGGAGAAAAATCAGGGTGTGGATGACTTATTTAACTATGTTTATCTTGCCAGGACAACTGCGACTCATTATTCACTCGGTAAACGACGAAGCAATCGTTCATTTACATGCTCAAAACACACAAACACTCGCCGTAGGGCACGTGTTATTCCAGTCCTACACTCCCTATCCATTGGTTACAGAATTCAGCGTAAAATCCTGTTGATTACTTTTAAATCTGGTCTGGCTCAGCTTTACATCTCAGTACGGTTCGACTCAATTCAATCTATTGCTGTTAAAAATTCCACTTTTTAGGCTGAGAACAACAGGAGATCATGTTTTTACAGGTTCCTCGTGACTGCCAGAGCAGGTAAAAAGCTTTAAAACCAGTACGGACGGGCATTTGAATAATGCTTTATGACGTTAACCCTTACATGTTGCTCATATTTTATGCCTGAATTCCTGTCACAAATTCCCTCATAGTAAGTGTCCATACCAAATTTTAAACTACAGATCCGTTTAGAATGTTTAATTTTAGTTAATTTTAGTTTAAATTTAGAAAATCACCTGTGCAGTTTCCAGATTCCCTAAATCCACCATTTTCCTTGATTTGACCCACACTGGTAGATCTAAAACCCATCCAAATGGATATACAGGTCAAATTTGACCCAAAACAGCCTCAGTGTACAAACATTTGTAGCACCTGCACAAAAGTATAACATTTTAAAATTCAGATTTGTGTGTGTTTTGGGTCGCTTTAGGAAAAGTCATCAAATTTCAAGCTAAAAGAACGACGTTTAGGGTATTTTTACTGCCGTCAATTGTCAAAACATGTCAAATTTGAATCAAAACTGTACGTAAGGGTTAAATATTAAAGGTTTTATTGCCTATTTTAATGCTTTTTTGTTGCCTCTTTTTGCAGCTACTAAGTTTATTGTCATTTTCTGACAACTGACTTAATCAGTCATCAGCTACTTGGTGCTCACAAGCTCAAAATGTTTGAATTATTTGCCTAAAATCCAAGTGAGGAGCAGCTGCGTGTCTTCCCTTTGCACCTGAACACTCAATGGTCCAGTCAATGAAAGGCAACACCCAATGCAAATATTTTCCCAACCCAAAAAAAAAAAAAACACAAAAGGTCACGACTCCAGCAACTTCTAAATCTCTTCGGATCCTCGTCGTTCTGCGGGATCCTTTCGCAACAATGGATCAAACCTTCACCTCCACGCTGCTCCTGTTGTGCTTGTCTGGAGCTGTCGGCAAGTTCGTCTACATCAGGGAGCTTAAGACCTGGCATGATGCTCAGAAGTACTGCCGGCTGTTTTACACAGACCTGGCTCCTGTCACTAACGAACACGACATCCAGAAGCTTCGGGAGCTCTCCGACAACACCAATCTCTATGTCTGGGTAGGATTTCAAAGGAGCTCCACGCACAGAGATCAGTGGTTGTGGTCAGGAGGTGCGAGGGTGTCCGAGTTTTTCTGGGAACGGGGTCAACCCAATAATAGAGGAGCTGAAGACTACGGCGTCATGAAACACTACAAGTGGCACGATTCTAGAGACTTCCACTACGACCCCTTCTTCTGCTACAACGTGGTCGTGGTGAGGCAAAAGAAGACTTGGGAGGAAGCGCTGGAGCACTGCAGGGAGCACCACCGCGACCTGGCCAGCGTGGCGTCCGAGGCGGAGATGGCGCTGATCCAGAGGGAGTTGCTTAAAAACGTCACCACGGAACGCGTCTGGATCGGTTTGCATTTCTTTCCCGGAGGGTGGCTGTGGGTGGACGGGCAGCCCCTGGGGTACGAGGTCTGGGATCAGGGGGGGAAGCCGGCGTGTCCGCAATTCAAGCGGGAGTGTGCGGCGTTGCAGGTGACGGGAGGGACGAGTGGCGGCTGCGATCCTAATTTGGTCTCTGTCACAGCGGGAACAGGAATAAATGTGGGGAATTGTGGAGGGAATGTTGGCCTGAATGTTCCTGGGCTAAATGATGCAGGTGTGAATGAAAGTGTATGGGGGGCTCGTGACTGTGAGGAAAAACTCCATTTTATTTGCTACTGAACTAGCTCCCTTTAAGTTGATTTAATTGGCTGGTGTTTATTATCTCATATGTTTTATTTAAACTCTGTATGTTTGACAGTTTATTTCTATTTTGGAAATTGCTAGCCTTGTGCTTAAACACTGTACAACTGCAAATAAACTACGTTAGATTCTGTTCGCATCATGCAATTCTGTTTTCCTTGCACATATATCCTATTTTAGTATTGAAAAGAAGAAGAAGAGGTTGTACATGTTTGCCCCCGGTCAGCAGGCAGAGTGAACCTACACATGTTGAAGTAAGGAGTCTGTGGCGACACGGGGAAGCCGGGGGTCGGGGGGGAATTCTCACCACCGCCTCTAAAGGTGGGACTGTTGGAAAAGCCGTCCGCCTCGTCGTCCTCGAATGCCTCCTGGTAGCTGTGCATGATACCCTGGAACAAAACAAATACAATTGATGGAAAATGTGCTTCTATCATATTATCTTGCCTATTTTAAGCAGCTGAGCATTGGTGATGAATTATACGACGGATCAAATACCGCACCTCTCTCGGTCTTCCTCCAGGGTTGAGGGCCAGATTGTTGGCAAAGTCTGGCGAATGCACCGCCGACGTGCTGTCGTGGCTGCTCTGGTACTGGCCTTCGCTCGTGGTCCGACGCCTGCCGGTCTCCTGCGGCACTTCTGGGGTCATCCCTCTGGAGCGAACTCCTGCAACCCCCCAAAATATGCACCGTGTGCAACTGTCAGCTCGGTATATATGTGTTAAAAGCAGCTTTTTAATGTTGCCTGGGAACATTTTGCAGCACTACAAAAATGGTAGAAATAGAATCTGCACAGGAAAAAATGAACAAAGTCCTTTTAGTTTGACAAATCATAAAACTTTTTTTCCCCCCTACAGAATCATCCCTTATCTTTCTGTGTTTTAATTAGCTGATGTGCAGGCTGATTCTCCACCCTCGGAATGGGTGGACGTAAACTTACAGCCTTTATCAAGAGAGCGAAAAAGAGAGAAAGATAAAGAGAATGCAAAGTAGCAGGTGTTGGGAATATAAATAAAAAAGCAGTGGAAAAGGACAAAAAGAGCAGAAATAGGAATTGATGAAAAGACATGAAGAAAGCAAACTTTAAATTATTTTTTAAAAATGGTTGGAAAGCAGAGAAAGGAAATAAAAAAAAAAAAAAAGGAAATCAGAAATTAAAAGCGAGGGAAAGTGGACAAACCAGAGAAGGAATAGGAGCGATGGCGGTCAGATTGTTGCGGTGTCATGCTTTCACTGATGCCCCGGATACGAGCGTTGTACTCTGTTGCCGGGGGGAGGGATGTCGGGTGGTGGAAGGGAGGCAGCAGGTGGAGGAGGAAGTGTGGAGGAGGAGGAGGAGGGTGAAAGAGGTGCAGAGGAGGAAGCAAGGGTGGGAAGGGTTTTCCATACAGCGGAGAGATGGATTGAACAGAAAGGGAGAAGAAAAATCAGAACAAAAATGGATCTAATGGATTTTTGAAGTGAAATGATACCAAGAACTATGTTGGGATCAGCTTGAGCTGCGACAACCGTCGAATTTACATCTTTGCTCCACTGGGAGGCACCTGGGAGCTTCCATATCATTTCACATGAAGGTACATTATGAATGCAGACAATGCATGGAAGCTGGAGACTCCGAATGCCTGGCTATTCTTACTCTCATCCCATCTCCACTCTCACCAGCTCTGCTTTATTTCAGCTGCAGAGCTAATTATACGAGCACAGGTCATTCCTCTGGTACGGCACCCCATGATGAATCTGTAACAGAAACTGCTGAAAGCTGCACCGGTCACGTTCTGCTTAGTGTTTTAGACGACAGAGCTGAGGTTGAGCTCAACCCCCCCGTCAGCCTCTCTCTGCATTTTGGATGTATATATGTTTTTAGGGAGTATTTTTGGATACACGCTAAAAAATTGCTTGACACTAGGTTCATTTTTCACAGTGGCGAAATGTTTAATTGCTCCAGCTAGCCAGGCCGTAACTGTGCATGGCTCTCCACGAAGTCAGCATTTCCATTTAATAACAACATTTAATACTGAAAATAGAAGATATAAAAGCAGATATAATAGTCATAGTTAGAAATCTTGAGCAAGTTTTAGGTCTGGGATGGAAACAAACAGGCATTTGCTGCCTGCAGAAAAGGGAAATTACAGTTTTCCCTTTTTTTTTCTCCACGAAGTCAGCATTTCCATTTAATAACAACATTTAATACTGAAAATAGAAGATATAAAAGCAGATATAATAGTCATAGTTAGAAATCTTGAGCAAGTTTTAGGTCTGGGATGGAAACAAACAGGCATTTGCTGCCTGCAGAAAAGGGAAATTACAGTTTTCCTTTTAAACCTGCCTGCAATTAAGTATTGAGGATTTACTGTAAATGGATTCAAACATGAAAAGAAAAATAGCTGGGATTATCTTTTAAATAATATTACAGCGCCCTCTTGCTAACAATCACTCATCCACTAGATCCCGACAATATCTCAAAGTCTTACCGGCAATACGGTGAGCCACCAGACCTTCAAGGTTTAGCGTCTCCTCCTCTGCATCTTGTTCTCTGGGCAAAGACGAAGAAGATGTATCCTTGGGTTGAGGGGTAAGAGCAGGAAGGGGAGAAGAAGAGGCACTGTAGCCTGGGTAGGGAGACGAGCCCTGCAGGTCTGGGGAGTGTGAAACGACGCTTCCTGGGTACGAGTTCAGAGGCTTCCCTGCTGCCTGCTGGTTGAAATTAGGAGATGGATCCATGGGGTAGTGGTGGGGTGCTTGGCGTGTGTGTAGGTAGGGCTCGGGGGTGTGCGTTGGGGTGGTGTTTTGGTGTTGGTAGGCGGCATTGGGCCTCTGTGGAGAATACACTGGGGACTCCATAACGGGGCTCTGGTTGGGTAAAGTTGACACTCTCCCAGTCGATCGTTGGGGCTGGTGAAAGGCGTTGCCGACTGACCCAGAGTTGTTGTAGCCATGGATGGCAGAGTCCGCTTGGTATGAGGGTCTGGCCAGGGTCTGGGAGAAGGGCACCTGGGTTGAATTGAGGTTATTCTCCCCAGGGGGCGCACTGTGGGACTTGGACATGTGGGAGTTAATTGGGTCCAGGTCGAGCATTAGCATGTTTAGAGCCTCGATGGACTGCTCGATGTCCCGCTGCGAGGCGGGGGTGGGGAAGTGGGGCAGGCTATGGGTCGACTGAAGAGGAGGGCCAAAAGGATCATCAGGTAAGCTGTACTGGTGCCAGGCATTGAGACCTCTTTGAACAGCCTCCCGGCTACTGGTGCTCCTCTCAGGGGCCCGGGGCATCAGTTTAGGGTTCGTCTCAGGGCTGCCGGCAGGTGGGTTCCCAAAGGACTGTGAACGGTACATCCCCCCTCCATTTTGAAAGTTGTTGTATCCCCCCTGTGGCGATGCCGAGTCCACAGACCTCTCTTGCATCGCTGTCGGAGTTCGTACTCCATGCACAGGCATCTCGTTGAGCTTCTCCCCGAGTACGCTTCTCTCAAGGTATGGCCCGTCGTTCTGTCCACTGACAGGCGTCTGCGATTGGTAATAAAGGTCAGCTGGCGTCGCCTGGCCCTCTAGGGATGAGAGCGTGCCCAAGCTGTCCACACTGTTGCCCTCTTGGCTATTAGGTAGTTCGTCGTCGAGTATATCTGTCTCTCGCTCCTCTGTTGAAGGGGCGCCAACAAGTCTAGTGTGGCCCCCGTTGACGTGCACCTGCGCTGGGACCAGGTGTCGGACTCCACCTCCTGGACTGGTGGACGTGGACAGGTAGGCTTGCCGCTGAGTTGGTGCCTCAAGGCCACTCAGAAGCTGGTCAAGCTCTCTTTTCTCCTGTGGGCTGAGCGGTGGGTGAGGGGCTGTTGGGTTGTTGTGGCTCACAGCGCTCTGCACGGACTGGCTGTGCTCATCAGTACGATCAGTCTTGATGGACGCGGTGGAGTTGCCTGAGTCGCTGCTCACCGAGAGGGTGTGGTCGACGGCAGGGAGGGAGGTGTGGCCTGTCACAGGAAGGGTGTGGTCGGTGGTTTGCAGGGGATGGCTCGCGTGCTGCAACGGGTTCTCCGCATTGGTCAAGGGGTTTTCACGGACTGGGAGGCCGTTGATGGTGACAACTCCCTCCAGGGAGTCTTTCTTGCGAACCCGGGCATATAGACTTCCATCAATTGGACCTTGAGTGTGAACAACATCTGAAAGACACAAAGAGACATAAGATTATTAGATGCATTCCCATGCAGAATATACAGATTTAAACACAAAACAAACTGACAAGTACAATACTTCTTGACGTGATTTTCACCACCTTTTCTTTATGCATGTATTAGCTCCAGTCATTTTTGCATGGGGCACAATCACTGGCACCACAAGCACAGTGACCCCCCTCTGCACCCGACTCTTTTGACCCTGAGGTCCAGCATGCAGCCCAGCCATCGGCAACACCACCCGCTCAGCTCTATTAATAGCCAATTTGCAGGTCTAAAGCCCCTGTCACGTTGCGTCAGTGCATGCCCACATGGTCTAACGTGAACCAGGGCGGGTCCTGTCCAAGACACTGAAACAGCTGGTCTGTGTGAACCAAAGAGAAGAGCAGAAGTGCCAGGTTGAAAGCTCAGAGCTGGACCGGGAGGGGACGAGCTGTCCTCTTCAAGCTGATTTCTGGCTGCTGAATCATGCCGGCAGGAGGAACGGGTCGCATACATGCATATAAAATATGTATTGCACAGAATTTATTTTTTATTGTGTATCATCTAGTACAACTAAACAAAATTCCTTTGGTCAGGCTTCAAATGAGAGAACTTCAGAAAACATCAAGCACGAGGAAAGAAAAAAATCCTCACTTGCTTAGTGTGTCGAAACTCATTTGACATTTCTTGGACACACACATGGCCCAGCAGAGTTTCCAGCAACACACACATTCATGTTGCAATTTTTTTTAGTGGCAACATGAAATGCTTGTATGGTCACTGAAATATTATGTGAACGAAAAAAAATATTATATTTGCCGAACAAATGATGTTCAACCAAATTGGAAACTTGAAAAACTTTTAATAACACAACACAAAGTTTTCAAAAGTTTCAAAGTGTAATAAATAACCCAACTCTTTTGTGGCACTGGAACACACAAACACTGGTACAGTACTGCAATTCATACAGTGGGAGATAGAACGTAGACTATAATTATAGGCAAGTGCCCCATTTTAAACTGTAAAACACTACACTCGCGTCCATGAAACACAACAGTCACACGTGCGCCGGCTCAGTCACACTTACAAGAAGAGGCACCGGCACCCCATTGCTAGTATGCATTCGCAAAAGTGATACGCAACATATACGTGACCGCGGCTGGCTCGTATGTGGGATGTTCCAAATTGAGAGACCCCACGGGGACAGATGGTGGATCACTCGGGCCGCAGCTATTTCAAACCCCATGTCAACAACAACTCACAGGCACAGTAGCAACAAGAATGGGAGGACGGGCGAGGAAGCTGTAAACACAGTTTGTTCCTGTGGTTGTTTTTAATGTTGACACATTATGAGCGTATAATTGCAGGTTTAGAGTTACATTTTGTTGCGAGTAGAACGCCTTGTGTACAATCTAGAGCCAAAAGCATACATAGTTATTAACAAAACCTAGTCATGCTGAGAACAACAACAACAAAGCTTTATTCCCTACCAACAAACACACAACCAAAATATTTCCTTTAAATATCATATCCAATTTTCTTATATGAAGCGACTAATAATTCCATCTCTACATCATAACACCAAACTCAGTGTAAACATCACCCTTACCTGTAGGCCACTCTTCTGAATTTTTTACTTCGCTGTTACCGAGAAACCCGAGAAAAGTGAAACATTTCCTCACAAGAAATCAAAAAGTGTATACATCAGGAGTCCTCCGGTGACTGAACTGTCTCCCTCCGGGTTTCTTCTCTCACTCTCCCTGTCCTCTCTGATTCATGTCCTCCCATCACCCAACATGTGCTCTACTGGAGCGAGGTGGGGCTGTACCACTGAAAGCTGCTGAAAGGGGTGAGCTGGCACTCTGGCATGACTGTTCCCGGCAGCGGGGGGGAGGAGGGCCTCCTCCGCCGCCGCCGTCACCACCTCCACATGGCTGCTCGGGAGAGACGTCGTTTCTAATAAACTACAACTCCCACACCAGCTGTCTGCAGCCTGCTGACATCATTAGAAGGGGGGGATCCCTTCGCTAAGTGTCACCCTCCCTACCTGCATCCTGCAAGCCCTACAAAGCATCAAAGCAGGAGTAAGCTGTCACTGCTCTGCATAAATCCATAATAAGTGGGGTTTTTAATACTTTTCAAGGCTTGAAATTAAGGTTAATCTACAGTATTTCACAGAACTGTGGTCTACATTTTCCACCAGCTGCTCCTCTGTCTGTCTCTCGCCCAGTCTGACCTTTAACAGAATAGGGAAAGTCCTTGTTCTCGGTCGTAAAAGACGAGCCTTTTAGTGCTCCGTGGCAAAAGCGACTCATCTTTGACGGGGAGACACTTCTTTTTCAGCTGCTGGTTAACCCCATCCGGAGGTTAAATTAGAGGAACACACACTGGTGTGTGTGACACATCGTGGCTCAGAGAGGAAAGAAAGCAAAAGAAAAACTAAACTTTTGGAGAAGGTTGGTATTTTTTTCCCCCCTATTTAGCAGTGAGGATGAAGTGGCCTGACTCATAGACGACAACACCGTGCATGCAAACTGTAGATTTGCCCACTTATGTGTAGGAGACAAACATGCATACTATCCTATTATTACCCCCATTACGTACATGCATCATGGAGGTGTTGACTAATGTTGGAAGAACCCTTTAACTAGAAAAGCTGCCAACAAACAGCCCGCCTGCTGGAGTGCCTTTGAGCAAACCACTATTTCTCCAACTTCCTCATCCTATTTCGGACTATATTGCGACGTATGTGCCACTGTGCACGCAAAGCCAAGTGGGATCGTTTGACCTGACACAGTCCAGACAGTTTGCACGCTCTATTTGAGTAATTACGGATAACCAGGGGAGACCTGATAGTTGAGCGGTGAGTGTGCATGCCGCATGAGGCACGGATGCTTTCCAGCAGCGAGTCCTTGGTTCAATTCCTGGCTGGCACAAAGCTTTACGGCCTGTCATTCCCCTTCTCTGTCTCTCTCTTCCCCACATTCAGTGTCTCTCTACTATAACTACAGCTGGGGTGCCAAAGAACACACTGTAAAATAAAACTGCAATATTTTTTCATTGTTAAAATACAGATTCTAGCCTTAATTTTGGTTGAGTTTGTGTGTGTATATTGTATATATTGAGGGATATTTTCATATTTAAAGACAATGAACCCTGTACTTATATATACTGTATATTTTGAGCATGTTAGAAATATAGATATAATGAAAAAAATACATATATGTAATGATAAAAATGATATTTTGACAGATTATCAGGTGATATACACCCACGAAAACACGTTTATTCAACATTTTTGTTGTGAAAACTATGCAAAATATCTCTCTAATCAACAAATCTATGCAAAATTATCAAATAAATAGTTAATTTTTAATACTGTACCTATTTAAAAATTATTTTATGCCAATAAAATAACAAATCATTAAAAATTGGACATTTTATGGCTATTCAAAGTGACAAGTTTTTCCGTTTTATTTTACATTAAACATTAAAACTATCAGCCCATGTTTGTAGTTTTCATATTTTCATGTATATAATAAACAACACTTTTGCATAATTTGTATTTTTGACCACAATTATGACATACATTTGCATTTTAGTGCAAAAAAAATGACAGAGCTGACTGAAGAAGTGAAGTTAAAGACTCTTGCATTTCAAATATGAGCGTCCAAATATGACCGTACATATATTTAATGTGACAGCATGGCGCCTGTCGTCCGGTAGCATCAATGTCAGAGATGTGACAAGCGGAGCCCGGTGTTAAATCCACTGACCGTGATTATGAATGACACAAACCAGCAGCTCTCCATCTGAATAGAACAAATAGCTTTCCTGTGGTGTCATAAATAGCTGCAGAGGACCTCGAATTAGATCGGTTGAGTCACCGGCGCTCTGCGGAACACAAATAGCTAACAACTTCGCTTCCTGCTCCGGTGAACAACTGTAACATGCCATTCGTTTCGCTTTAAAGGACAAAAGGCGCCGCTCATTTAAATGTCTAGTAAAAATCCAAATCGGGATCAGGAAGTATTTGTACATGAATCACCGAGATGAAAACTTTTCTGACTTAGTAAAAGTCTCGGTCTTTCACACGCACACCTGTGCATGCTCTATATTCTCTCATGTGACAGGTGCTTGCCTTTCTTGTGAAAGTGCCAGAGGCGTTGCTTGTACTGCGCTGCACACACACACACTGACACACACACAACACCTGCCTCTCGGTCGTATTCTCTTAAGTGTTCACTTGAGTGTCTCGTTGCTACATCACAGCCTCAGAGGCAATTAAAAAGCCATTTAAACACCTGTGGCCGATGGTTTATTATAAATAGACAATGTGCTACAACCACTGTTATTGCAGTATCAAATGGAGCAGCTGGGATGTGGATTATATACATAGTTAGTACATTTGAGATTAACAGACAGGGTGATTGAGGAGGCCCATTTGTCAACACACCCATAGGGCAACGGGAACAGAGCTGCTATATCATTTGATACTGGACACCCACAATAAATGTGTCACATGCACTTCTATTTTCATCAATCATTCCTCAGTTTTCTTTTACTGTTGCATCAAAAATGGATGGTACATTGAAGCAAGTTGTAGAACAGTGGGACAGTTTCACCACCCAGAACCTATTTAATGTAGGTTTAACCAAATGACCGATTTGTACATCCATCCATCCGTCTATTATCTATACACTGCTTTATCCTCTGGAGGATCGCAGATGGATGGAGTCTATCCCATCTGACTTTGGGCAAAGGCACGGTGGACAGGTCGCCAATCCATCAAAGGGTCACATAGAGACAGACAACCAAGCACAGTCGCATTCACACCAACAGACAATTTAAAGTCAAGTGAGAAAAATTCAAAGAGTTTTTGCTTGAACTGGACTGAATTGCCAGCTGTGTACACACAGAGCAGATAAAGGATAAATATGGAAGAAAAAAAAATGTATGTATATATGTGGATCTCCTATTTTTTTTAAAAAACTCAATATTTGTAC